GAGCTGGGGCTGGGGTTGAGGCTGAGCTGGGGCTGGGGCTGGGGCTGAGCTAGAACTGGGGTTGGAGCTGGGACTGAGCTTGAACTGAGGTTGAGGCTGAAGCTGAGCTAGAGCTGGGTTTGGGCTTGAGGTTGAGCTGGAGCTGGGACTGGGGCTGGGGCTGAGCTAGAACTGGATCTGGGGCTGGGGTTGAGCTGGAGCTGGGACTGGGGCTGGGGCTGAGCTGGAGCTGAAGTCAGAGATTGGGCCAGGCTAGAACAGGGGCTATGGAAGAACTAGAACTGGGGATGAAGCTGAGGTTGAGTTCTAGCCAGGACTTTTCAGAAGAGCTGGAGCAAGAGCTGAGGCTGTGCTGGTGCTAGTTTTGTTGTTCAGGTGTGTCCAACTCTTTGTGACCCTATTTGGGATTTTGTTGGCAAAGGTGGTTGGAGTGGTTTGCCATTTCCTTCTGTAGCTCATTTTACAGATGATGGAACTAAGCTCAAATAAGTTTGGCTGAGCTAGCTCAGATCCATGCAGACCTCCTGCTAGAGCTGAGTTCAGTTGGACTGGGGCTAAAATTAGCCCAAAAAACTATTGCCTTACCCAGTAAGCTGAATTGAACTGAGCTGAGGTTTTTCTGAATTTGCCCTATGTTGGAACTGGGCATATCTAGGCCGGCCCAAACTGACTAATGTGCTTGAAAGCTAAACAAGAAAGTAGGCTATCCTGGAACTGTTCTGTACTGATCTCCTGCTGAAGTTGTGCTGGATGGTTTGAGGCCATCCTCAATCTTTTCTAGACTGGGTTGAAAGAAACTGAGCTAGAAAGAACTGAGTTTGGGTCAGTCCATACAAAAGTCATCAGTTCTGCTGAGCCCAGAGCTCCTTTGTGCAGATACCCTAGTAAAAGCTGAGCTAAGCTGAGCTGAGATGGGGAGCTCCTACTGAGGCTGGTCTTATTTTTAATTGAGTCTGTCCATTAATTCCCTCTAGGACTGAGCTGTTTTGCTCCATATTCACAAAGCTTTGGGGATGAGTTGTGCATGAAACCCATGTTCTAGGCCTGTTCCTATAGGGCTTTACTTATATCACCCGCCTCCTCAGTATAGTACTGGGACCTTGAAATGATGAGTCACCTTTCTTTTCTCCTTGCTTAAAAAGATGTTACAGTTTTGCATCTGAGCATTGGAAGGCTTTAGGGAACTAAACCCCCACTACCACCACTGCACACACACACACACACACGCACGCACACACACACACACACACACTGTCTAGATTTAGCCAAGAAGGAGCTTTTCACCATAACTGGATGACTAGTTTCTCCAGCCCTTTACAACTAGCATTTCAGGCTTAATTGGATCAATGAAAAGTGAAAAGCTCTTTTTGGCATAGAGAATGGTGTTCCCAGCAACTGATAGATTTTAGATAGGAAGGTTTGGCTTCTCTCTCGTAGAGTAGTGTCTAAGGATCTGGGTGTTCTGAGAACAGGACCAAAGTAGTAGAAAGGATAGCCCTGGCCTAGATAGAGCTTAACTTAACTAATCATATGATTCTCCACTTTTGACACTGACCAGCACTGGCCTTTTCTTGCTGCAGGATTCCAGGGGTTCTTAATGTTTTTTTGAGTCATGGAATCTTTATCTGGTGACATCCAAGGACTTCTTAAAGTAAAATGCATAAAATAAAATCTGTAAGATCACAAATGAAATCAATTATATTGAAATACAATGAATAATTTTTTAAGTTCACAGACCTCTGGTTAAGTTTCCCTATTTAGATGAGGGTTTTCAGGGTTGGGATTTCCCTAGGGCTGATCTCTTCAGAAATATGCATCCTCATGTGTGGTGCCTTCTCTGGCAATACTGCATTATCTTTTGCTTGGATGCCAAGCCTTGTAGGGAGCCCATGCTATGGTGTCTAGCTCCTTTTTGGGGTGGATGAGCAAAAAATGGGGTATATGCACAGAATGCATGAAAAGGAAGGTATGATATACACTCATCTGGAGAACTTTGGATAATCAGCTCACTATTCTTAACCTGTTCCAGCTTCTCACCTATAACTTTACAGACAAGGAAATTAGCCCTTTTCTTCTCTGCTTTGGTTTCAGCCCTCCTGAAAAGCCTTTAATTTTTAACATCTTTCTTCTGTTTTGTCCTCCCCTATTCTCTTCTTCAGCTGTCCCAGCTGCACCAAAGCTCTTCCCCCTCTCCTCCTGTTGGAGTTCTCAAATGAGTGATGCTCCTGTGGCTGTGGGTTGTTTGGCTAAGGATTTTCTACCTGAATCCATAAACTTCTCCTGGAGCTACCAAAACCAAAGTGCTGTGAGTGCCACAGATTTAAAGATCTTCCCAACTCTTATGAGTGGGAGCACGTACACAGCCACCTCACAAGTGACCCTCCCTGCCAATGATGTCTTCGAAGGACAAGATAGCTATTTGGTATGTAAGACCCGTCATACCAAAGGCAACAAGGAAGTTCGAGTTCCACTTCCAGGTAAGATCTGAAGTACAACTCCTTCTTTATCTTTTCTCTCCTCCATACCCTTGCTTTGGCTCCATGAAGCAGAACTAGCCTGCAGTTTTGAGGGGAACAAAACATCCCAGCAGATAGCACAGAATGTATGTCCCATACACAAGCATTTTATACACAAACATAAGCCCACATACAAATACACAACAAATATATAGACACATCAAAATGTATACGCATACACCCATATCCTTGCCTATACTCCTCGATAGCTATAATGGGCTCAAAGAAGAGGTCTGATTTAAGGGAGCTGTTGGGAAGATCTCCATTCTAGATAGTGATCCCTCTATTCCAGGCTTCTTTCCATCCTCAGAATCATCCCTAATGAAAGCAGCCAGGCACAGAAACTCAAGGGGCCAAACAAGGGAAGGACTACTCCAGACAGGCAAAGCTAGTCAAAGCAAAAACTTTCTTTTGTTTGATTGTGCCTCGTCATGACAGGGTCCTAACTTCCCCCTTTCCTGGCTTGTGTTCCTATTCAGATCGCACCATCAGTTCCCCCAATGTGACTGTGTATATTCCACCCCGTGATGTGTTCTCCAGCTCTAACCTAAGAACATCCAAGCTCATCTGTCAAGCCACCAACTTCAAGCCAAACAAGATCAAATTAACATGGCTTCAAGAGGGCAGGCCACTTCTGTCAGGTGTCTCTACAGGTCAAGTCCTGCCTGAAGGTTCTGGGACTTACTTCCTGCAGAGCAGCCTGACTATCAGTGAAAATGACTGGCTCAGCCAAAGCACATTCACCTGCCAGGTAGAACATGAAAGGGTCCAATTCCAGAAGAATGTTTCCTCAACCTGTTTCAGTGGGGGTAAGTGATGCTCAAGATGGAACTCCTTGGAAGTGAGTTGGAATTCCCAGCCTTCTCACTCCTGAGATTATACCTAATAGTCCTATTTATAGGAGAGCCCCAGAGAAGTATTCTTCCCCAGGAAATCCTCCCTAGCTTAGGACTTGGACCTAGAGGAAAGATGGGCTAACATGCCCAGAAAGACTCTAGCATGCTGATAATATAGATTCCAAATACCAAAGTTTTACTTCTGGTGATCTGATCATCATCTGCCTGGGACTGAGATCAGCTCTGCTAAACATGAATCTAGTTTCTCCAAGAGCCTCAGACACTGATGATGGCTGTTTAACCATTTCTCATCCTACTTTATAAGTGACTGAGATCAATGATGCTTAATAGGATCCCTTTCTCTTTATTTACTTGTATGGAGACACATGGGGGAAGAGTGCATGAAAAATAATTCTAGATCTCTTCAGCTGGAGAATGTTCACATTCTCTTTCTCTTATGAAGAATGAATGAAAGGAAATAGAAGCGTACTGCAGCATGAGCAGTTAGATTAGACATAAGAAAGGGAGTCCTAAAGCATTGCTCAGCAATCTTTGGAGTTGGTCACTGAGTAAAGGTAGGAATGGTCTTCCCTGGAGACCAGGAGAAACATGGGAAATTCCCTTAGAGACGACTGAAATTAATACCTGCCTGGAAGAGTCCAAAGAGCTCTATAGAACTTATCAGACCTATAAGCTCAGATTGCTTGCCACTTTATTAAAAAGAAGAACGCACTTAAACCCATAGTGAGTATGCAAAAAGGAGGAGGTGTTAAAGGGGAGGAGAAGATTAAGGGAGAAGAAGGATAGATCCATAGTAAACATTACTGGAATTTGGAGGGCCTGTATAATTTTGTCTCAATTTGCCTCCTTTTGGAAATTAAATACAACTTTTCCTTTGACATAGGCCCAGAATCACCCATTGAAGCCTTTGTCATCCCCCCCTCCTTTGCAAGCATCTTTGTTACCAAATCAGCCAAATTAACCTGTGTAGTCACAAACCTTCCCACTCCTCAAAATCCGAATATTTCCTGGACCCGGGAGAATGGACAGCCTCTGGAAACTACCGTTAAGGTGTCCCTCAGCCACCTCAATGGCACTTTTAGTGCTGAGGGAGTAGCCACAGTCTGTGAAGATGAATGGAATTCAGGGACGGTATTCAAATGCATCGTGATTCATCCTAATCATCCTGTTCCCTTGAAGAAAGAAATCTTTAAGCCAAAAGGTAAGGGTCCCAACTTTCTCCTCCTTCTTATCATCTTTCCTCCCTTTGCTAAACTCTGCAATTGGCCCATCCAGAGTCAGATGATACTATCTTGTATGCCATGGGGGGGGGGGTTGGGAAGGGTGGTTTAAACTCTTGTGAAGTGTCTGGAAAAACTCTGAGTTCATTTTCCTAAATCTAGGAAAACCAACCCAGAGGATCCCAGTCTTTTATCCCTAAAGCAGAAGCAGCAAAGTTTTTGCATGAAAGGTCCAGTAGATCTTCCTCTTCCTCTTGTTCCTCCTTCCCACCCTTATTCCCATCCTTCCACATGTTGCCCTTGGATTACTGGGAAATACTGAAATAATCTTTCAATATGAACCCCATACCACATAACTCTTTGTCTCTAGGATTTCAGAGGACCTAGGAGCCTTTTTTCCAACTTTCTCCTACTAGGTCCCAGATTCACCACAAGACTCTCCTCCCTTAACTCTTATCATGCTTTTAGGCTGTGACTATGAGCTCTCTACTCTCAGACCTTCCATTTTTCAGCCTACCTCATCCAATAACCTCTTTGTTTACAGGGACTACCATGTACGCACCAGCTATCTACCTATTGCCTCCAGCTCCTGAAGAGCTGAGCCTCAGGGAATCAGCTACCCTAACCTGCCTGATGAAGGACTTCTCCCCAGCAGATGTGCTTGTCCAGTGGCGGCACAAAGGACAGCCTATACCCTCAGAGAAATATGTCACCAGCATCCCCCAGCAGGAACCCCAGAAAGACGGTCTCTACTTCTCCCACAGCACCCTGACAGTGTCTGAGAAACACTGGAATGCAGGGGATTCCTATACCTGTGTGGTGGTTCATGAAGCACTACCCTTGTCGGTGACTGAGAAGACCGTGGACAAGTCCACTGGTAAACCCACCTTCGTCAATGTCTCCCTTGTGCTATCTGATACAGCCAATACCTGCTACTGAGAGGGTGTGGTCTTGGTCAATCTCTTTTTACTGTCCCTACAGGTCCTACTCTTACTATCTAGCTCATTCATGGGGCAGATTCTGGGGGCTTCTGTGCCAACTGAATTCCCCAAAGGAGTATGTAAGACCATGTGACTGAAATAAGATACTGCATTTTATAAAAATTAGAAATAAAAAAAATCAACTTTACAAAGAGGTTCTGGTTCTGTAGTAAACAATGGTATCTGACTGGCCCTAAGCTTCTCTCTGTGCAACATTCCTTTCCTGACCCTTTTCCCTCATATCACCCCTCAAATTATTTGCCTACGCACACAAACACATGCACACAAGAATGCACACAAACACCACCTTAAGCCTTGCCTCCCTCACTCAACCTCATCACCTTTCCCCAACTTTACTCCTCACTTCAATCCCATGTTGCTCAGATGCTATAAATACAGTTCATATTTCTAAGTCCTTGAAAACAAGTTTTGCAGAAAAAAAAACTGATAACACACATATGCATGTATGGATACACAGGAACGTAAACATGTAACACACACACACACACAGACACCAGCACGAGACTAAGTCAGTGGAAACTTCTTCCCTGAAAGGGGAGTATGAGCACTTATAGAATTTTGACAATCCTACTATCATGTGGGGTCTATGGACTTTTCAGCCAAAGACATCATGTTGTCCCTTAGTAGGTGTAATGTGCATTTTTTTCCACTTAAAATATTCAGCCTTCTGGGAGAGAAGGGAAGGAAGCAATGCCTCTTACAAATGGCCTCAGTTGTATTAACTCCATACCTTAGCCTAATGATAAAGAATTCAGAACCCTCTGTCCCACTTGATCATTCATAACAGTCCCTTTAATTCCCCAGTCTAAGCTTTGAGTGGAAGCCTAGTTATTTCATCTCCTCATGTCCAAGGGAGTGGGACACAGTGTCCCAGGGATGAGTTAATTCTAGACTCAAGGAAATAAGTCAGTTCAAGATGATGATTCCATTTCCTCTCCCAGTATACCCCATACATGATGATCCTGACCTAGACCTTCAGTGTCTGTCCCTAGGTAAGTGCATCTCATCCAAAGAGTATAAACTGAGGGAACTAGAATAGGGGAAGGCTAATCTTTAAGACTGAGAGTAGAGTTATTGCCAAATGTGACCTTGTTGAATGACCTCCATGGAAGGAGTCATGGGTCACCTTTTCAAAGAAATACCAAAGAGGAAAGAGAAATATCAAAGAGAACAGAAAAATATCTAAGGGACCCCAGTTGAATAAGCCCACCCTTCTGGCTTCCTTGTTAGAAGCTATGTGAGGATGGAATTTCAGGCAGCCCTAGAAAGACCAATGACTCTTTATCCAAAGAACTTATGGCTCTGATGGAGCTTGCATGTGACAAGGGAAGAGAAAACTTATTCAGAAATTGCCTGCTGTCCAATTTCAATTTGTTTATTGTTCAATAGAAGTCCAAACACAGTAATGTACACTTGGGAACAGGATGCAATAGTTAGTTAAGGTAAAATTAATATTTTCTATGAGGACTCTTTTCAAGATCTTTCATCTGCCCTGAGACATATTCATCTTAGCAAAACGCAGGTCCAGGCAATCTAAAGGACATCTGATCCTAATGAAGACGATGTGTTGATCTACCAAAAATATTTGCTTTTATGTAGAAAATCAATATTCTCTAATTTGCCTGAATAGCACAGAAGCTAAAGAAACCATTTTGCTTCCCTAGCTAAACTTCTTCTCTGAAATCTCCAAATAAATCCATTCCTAAACATATCTCAGATCTGTCCTTGGGAACTCAACAAGAAACTCTAAATTCCCAAGAGTCCAGTTGATCCTTTACCCCAAGCTCAATTCTATTATAGTAGAAGCACCTGAGCATCTTGCGCAAAATTAAGTCTATAGGATGTCTTACTTTATGTAACCCAACCTTAGTTTCTCCAAGAGATCAGGCCCTATTGCTCCCAGTAATAATCAGCAATGATTGTTGATATGTACTGTAGTCTAAACATAGAATCAGGAGAGACTTCAAATCCTTCCTTCTGTCTAATTATGAGTTCTTAAGGAAAAACAAAACTCTGAAATCCTTTTAGCTTACGTACACAAACAGATGTAGACAGAAAGCTTATTTCCTGTTGAAAAGCTGAGAGAGGCAAATTATACTACAGAAACGTAAAGATAGAAAAAATAGGGAGAACAGAAACTGAGAAATGGTAAACAATAGAAATGATGCCTTAAACAGTATCCTAGGGATGTTATTGAGATAACCATATATCCTAGTATAGTCTTTAGTTTGAATGTTGGGCTATTATCCTTCTCCCTACATTTCCAATTCCTGAGCAACTTTATGATCCAAGTGTTGTTTACCAGTTTAGTCTTTCTATAGAGAGCTACAAGTACTGCCTTCAACTATTACTGAAGGGGGAAGAAGGAAATAGAAGATGTATTATCAATCATTAGTTTTTAGTTTCTTTATTTGCCTCAGACTTATATGGTCATGGAAAGATACCCTCAGCCAGCACAATAGATTTCAACTACATTCTATTTTTTTTCTTTTGGACAACTAGATAGGGTAGCATGGGGCCTATTATGATGAGAAAAACATTAAGATACCTCCTATCTAACACCTTGACTCATTTACTCTCACAGTAGGCTGCAGTGAGCTCTGTGCTCACTTTCCCAAGGGCAAGTCCTCTCCTCAACCCTTAATTCTCCAAAGAAAATATCTTTCATAATTAGATTAAGAAAGGAGAGTCTTGAAATCAACCATAATTTGTTAAACTCTTGGCTCATCTATTCCCATCCCCTCACCGCCAGTCCAGAATTCATATCCATCTTACTCCTCTCATCCAAAACTTAGTCATTTAAGAAAATTTGAGGACCATATTTATCCTCAAGATTTCTCAGATCCAAATAAGAACGCAGGTGGAATGTGTTCCTAAGAGCCTAGATGAACTAGGAAAATTCTAAACCAAGATTTTTATTTTCAGGAATAGACACATAGATATGTGCATGCACATATCCTTACACAGAGATGCACTTATCTCTCACATATGTGACCTGAATTAATTGTCATCATCATCACCTCTTTCTTCCTTTCTGTTATTGATTCCACTGTTCTCACTGCTCTGGCCATCCATAAGAGCGACACAGAGTTAAATCACTCTCAGAACTCATTTTAAATCAGAATTCATTTTTAAATAGTGACTTTAATGTTGTCATCAGCACTATATAGGGATCCTTGTGTGACTGCAGGGAAAGTTTTCCTTTTTAACTGAATTTTCATTCCCTTCTCTGCATTGCCTGTCACACTAAGTCACGCTTAGAACATGTTTTCAATTGTATTTTTCCAAGTTTCTGGCTCCTCCCATACTTACAACCTTCTTATTCCTAGATGCCTGTCTCTGTTCCTGGGGCAAGGACCATAGACTTCCTTTAGAAAATGTCATCTTCATAGAAAACACATCTAAAGGATGCCTATTTAGCAGTTTATTCCTATTTAACAGCCTCTTCCAACTAGCAAAAGATTCCGTCTAGTCCCAGCCCCATAGTGACTGAATCTAACACTGTTCTTTCTGTTCTCTTTCTGTTCCGTTCATTCAAAACCCATGAAGAAGGGGAAGTCAATGCTGAAGAAGAGGGGTTTGAGAACCTGTGGACGACAGCTTCTACTTTCATTGTCCTCTTCCTCCTGAGTCTCTTTTACAGTACAACAGTCACTCTGTTCAAGGTAAGAGGACATGGATGCATACAGTTTAAACAAGCGTGTGCCTAGGGAAGTGTGACATGGGCACCCTTTCTCCTTAGTTAAGTTATGATGTTATTAAGTTATTCGGTAGTTAGGTAAACCTGAAATATAGTTACATATGTGTTTAGGCAACAATACTAGAGATTTCTAATGTGAAATATGCCTTGCATTTAATAATATTATTATTAATATTCATATTATTCATAATAACATTAGACATTTACAAAGCATTTCATATTTTTGCTGCTATAAATTACTACTAATTTGAGTATGCTTGTTTCTTATTTTGCTGTTATGTTCCTTTGACTGTTTTGTGTTTCATGTATATTTGTTCATTGTTTTATGTAGATATATATATATATATACTCCTACTCACAATTAAGTTGTATCTTATATATGTGTGACTTTCCAGTCTTCTTGTACCTTAAACCCTTCTGCACATCCTTCCATCCAGCGACACCAGCCTCTTTGCTTTTCCTTGAACAAGACATTGCATCTTCAGACTCTACTAATTTTCACTGTCTTTCTCCTGTGCCTGGAATGCTCTCCCTTCTCATCTCCTTCTACGAGCTTCTCTAGCTTCCTTTAAGTCCTAATTTAAATCCCATCTTCCAATGGAAGCCTTTCCCAATCCCTTTTCAGTCTTCTCTTTGTTAATTTCTAATTTATTATATGTATACATATATACACACAAAAATATATTATATATATAGTTTATACATATTTGTTTGCTTGTTGTCTCCTCCATTAGATTTGGAGCTCCTTGAGGGCAGGGTCTGTCTTTTGCCTTTTTGTATCACCAGGGCTTAGCACAGTACCTGGCATATAGTAAGTGCTTAACAAATTTTTATTGACTGACTTAAGGTCTCATTTTTAAAATATGTAGGGGCTATGTTTGGGCCAACAAAGTCACAATTTTAGGTCCTTATAGGAAACACAATTTGACATATATCTCTATATCTATCTGGAAAAGATCTCAGAGCCCACCTAGTACAAACCCATTATTTTGCAGATGAGGCAACAGAGGCCCAGAGAGGTTAAGTATCTTGCCTAAGGTAACATAATATGAAGTATCAGAGGTGGGATTTGAACTCAGGTCCTCTGATTTCAGAGTCAATGGTATTTCCACTATACCTCTTTCATTATTCCAAACCAGGAACTGGAAACCTATAGCCTCGAGGCCACATGTGGCCTTCTAGGTCCTTGGGTGCTGCCTTTTGACTGAGTCCAAGTTTTACAGAACAAATTCTTTTATTAAGTTTGGACTCTGTCAAAGGGCCATACTTGAGAACCAAGAGGGCCACATGTGGCCCTGAGGCCACAGGTTCCCCATCTTTGTTCCAAACTATCTCCAATGGATTCACAAAGGTCCTTTTTTGCCTCTGATATTCTTTCCCAAAAACGGTCAAGAGAAAAAGCATACATTTATTATTATTATTATTATTAATAATAACATTAGACATTTACAAAGGACCTTATATAAATTGTATCATGAGGTAGATACCACGGGTACCTACCTTGTTTTGAAGATGAAGAAACTGAATCTCAGAGAGATTAAAATGACCTATATGTTGTCACATAGCTAGTAAGTATAAGGTGGAATTTGGACATAGGTCTTTCTAACCTCAAGTCTAGCATACATACACTAAGGCTGTTTCTTTATTATTCACAGGTGAAATAAATTCATGCTTGAAAGGCAAACATCTGAAAACAAAGAGCTTGAACCAAAAGAAGGAATAATTCCCTGAAGGCCTGAGCTGAGCTTCCCCTGCTGACTGATAACAATTCACCCTTTCAACAACTCTTGGAAGAACAAGAGGCTCCCAAGCTTGTGGGGGTGATGGAGAGGGAAGTGGGGAGGACTTAACTTTTGATTTCCATGTGGTTTTCCCACATTCTTTTATTACTTTATGTAGAACTTACCTCCTGCAACCTCTCTCATGTCCTCCCTTCTAAAATTAGGATTTAGAAGGAAAAAATGCATATTTCTTAAGCACAACTAATTGTACTTTACTAGTTAACAAAACTAGTAAAAAAAATAAAAGCTGTAATAGACCACAATATCATTTTGAAATAAAAAAGTATATTATATTGTCACAATGGTTTTTATTAGAAACATCTAAAAGGCCCTGCCATCCTTTTCCTGTCCTGGGAACTCATTGAGGGACGTTCTCAATTCATCAGAGATTCATGTATGGCTACGTTACTCCAAAACTCAAAACCCAGTTTTGCTTTATATCAGGAAAGCCAAATCTGCAAATAACACAAAGTTAGAAAAGAGAGTTTATATACTGAATGACAGAATAAGGATAAGTTGGGAACAAATATTATAAAATCCAACACTTAAATTCAAAACATGAATAAGGAAAAAAACTGCAACAGAAGAGGTCAGGTGTAAGTAGATAACCAGTTATACGAAAAAAGCCTGGAAGTTTCAGGGACCTGTAAATTCAGCATTTCAGAAATGTGATGTGGCATTCAAAAGAATTAATGTGAACTCAGCCTAAATTAATAGCAGCATAGAGCTAATCTGGAGGGGGTGGAGGGGTGAAGCATGAAAAAGTCTTGTTCTACACTGCCCTAGTCAGACCATATCTAGAATATTATGTCCAGTACTGCATTTATTAAAAGGATGCTATCAAGCTGCAGTGCAATCAAGATAGTAAAGGCACTTGAAATCAAGTTATACAAAGATAAGTTAAAGGAATAAGGAATGTGTAGACTGGAGAAAGATTAATTAGTCTTTCAAGAAGCACTGTGCTAGTATCTGGAAAGGCCAAAGAAAGGCCAAAAACAAACAAACAAACAAAAAACAGTTCCTGCCATCAAGAAGCTTACATGACAATTTTCTTCAAATACTTGAAATACTTTATAAATAAAGTATTTTACTTATAAATAAATAAATATACATTATATGTAGCCTTATGTGCATGTCCTCGGATTCCAAACTTATTTTGTCTCTTGGAGATTGCCAAATGAAACTTGTCCAAGAAGGAGAAGGGACTAGATTCTAAAAAAAAAAATTTGGAACTATGAAAATGATAATTGGAGAGAAAATTAGTTTTATGTCATGTTTATTGAACACTTTGACAATTTTTCTGTAAGCCTAAAAGTGATTATTTGAAAATTTAAAGAAACTTGACTAAAAGACAGTACAAAAACACTGGCATTTGAATGTTGAATGTCACCATATGCGTGAATTATATCTGGCATGGACAATGTAGCTATAACTATCACAAGTTAGTAAAACAAAATTGACAGGTTTTAACATTAAAGACATGGCAAGGTTTTGATATACTTGTCTTAAGACATTAATGAAACACTTCTAAACACTGATGTGATACGGACAGATTCTCAGATATTTGTTGATGTGTTTTTTTTTTAGTTAGGATGAGGGGAAGGGGGTGACATTACAATCCTCAATCTTTGCTATATTGGCACAATCAGTGGTTTGTACGTTCAACAGTAACATTTTAGCAAGTTTTATCAGTCAGTAATATTTTTACCTCATAAACAGGAATCAAAAATCACATATAAGAATGGATTAAAATTTATTGAATATAAAGATTGAACTTCAAGTCACTGTAGTTTTAGTAAATGCTTACTGCATCAGTTATGGTTCAAGCACTGCATATGCTGTGTATATTCTGATTTTATTAAAATAAAAAGTTAAACTAAAAAAAACTAAAATACTTAAACTAAAAAAAAAAAGAAAAAAGATAGGGATGAGAGCAATGGCTTCTGTTATTTTTTTATTGCACACTCCTATCAGTAAGACATTTCTAAGCATGGACCCCCTAGATGCAATACTGTTATGTACATTATAAAGCACATATAAAAAAATACACATTTTAAAATATGAATTAAAGTTGAAATTATTGACATTTTTCAAAAAAATTTTTATTTTTTTTTTATTAAAAGTAGCCAGGCACCTAGATGGCATGGTGAATAGAGCACCAGCCTTGAATTCAGGAAGACCTGAGTTCAAATTTGGTCTCAGAGCAGACATTTGACACTTACTAGCTGTGTGACCCTAGGCAAGTCACTTAACTCATGGCCAAAAAAAAAAAAAGTAGCCAAAAACACTTTTTTGCTCCTACTAAAATATTTATAGTAATAATAACATATTTAACAAAAATATTATACTAATCTGTGCTGTTGTCTCCTAGTTCTTTCCCCACTGCCTTCAAAATTGCCTACATCTTTCCCATCCTTTAAAAAAAATTCGCTAAATCCTATCCTCTCCTCAAATTGTCATGCAATATTCTTTTCACCCTTAGCCAAATTTCTTTTTTTTTTTTTGGTCAGGCAATTGGGGTTAAGTGACTTGCCCAAGGTCACACAGCTAGTACGTGTCAAGTGTTTGGTCTGAGGCTTGGTTTGAACTCAGGTTCTCCTGACTTCAGGGCCAGTGCTCTATCCACTGCACGCCACCTAGCTGCCCCATTTTTTTTTTTTTTTGCTTAGCCAAATTTCTTGAAAAAGCTTGCTGACCCTTGCTGCTTCCATTTTCTCTTCTCTTACTCTCTCTCAGCCTCTTTACTCAATTGAAACTCCCTTTCCCAAAGTTACCAATTGTAGTAATAAAGGGGAGTCCACATGAAAAGTGCCATCCCACAAAGGGACAGCCTAAACAAACTTTATTGCTGCTCACAAGGGAAGGCAGCAAACATTTGCTAGTATTGATGGATAGTATCAGTGTGAGGCATCCATGAGTGCAATGAATAACACACAGAGATGTGTGATCACACTCTAGTTGAAGACCCAAATACCCTCAGGATTCAACTTGGGACAAAGAGCCAATGGGTGACCTCCTTGTCATTTAATGAACCAGTAAAATTGAGGTGCTTTTTTCTTTTTAATTACCTAAAAGCAGAGAGAAATGAGGAACATGGAATTGGTCATTTCTACCTTCACAACATCTCTCATTTCTAACTACTTCTCTCCACTCACAAACAGGCCCTTTTTACCCTTCATCTAAATTATTTCAAGTCTCTTAATTGGTCTCTCTTCCTCAAGTCTTTCTGCCACTCCAGTTCAATCCTGCACTCTATTGACAAAGTGCTTTTCTTTAAACACACAAATCTGACCATATGACAAAATCTATTCAATCAATTCGAGTGGATTCCAATTGCCTATATGATAAAATATAATCTCCTCAGTTTTACTTTTAAAGCCCTATGCAGCCTATCCCAAACTTATTTTTCTAACCTTATCTCAAGAAAGGGAATAAGCATTTATATTAGCTTACTAATATATTATTAAGCATTATATTAGCTCCTATTATGTACCAGGCATTGTGCTAAGCACTTTTCACACACATGATCTCATCTGATCTTCACAACAACCCTGGGAAATAGGTGCTATTATTACCCCCATTTTTTACAGGTGAAGAAGCTAAGGCAAAAAGAAGTTAAGCGACAGGGTCATACATCTATTACTAGCTCTGAGACTGAATTTGAACTCAGGGCTTCCTTACCCAGTGTTCTATCCACCGCTACACCACCAGCTGCTTCATTGGAGGTAGCTTTTTAGACTCTGGACTCTGAAATCTGACCAAACTAGCCTTCTCTCTATTCCTTACACACTGGTAACATTGCTTTTACCCTGGCTTTTCCCTCATAATTAGAAACAGCTCTCTCCTTACTTTCTTCTTCCTTTAAGATTTTTTACAAGAAGCCTTTTCTGGCTTCCCCATTTGATATTATCCTTCCTCCCAAGGTACCTTATATTTAACTGCTATGCACATATTTGTATTAAATATAACTATCTATTTATATATAATATATGTTTTATCTATGTTAAATGTAACATGTAAATATATGCTATATATATTTTTTTATGTGTACTTTTGTCTCCTCCATAGAATGTTAGCTCCTCACAAGTGAGGATTGTTTTATCATGTCTCCCCAGGGCCCAGTCCGGGGCTGGACACAAAGCAGGCGCTTGATAAACACTTGATTAAGGGATTATTCAAAATATTTGAGAGGCATTATGTGTGTTTTTACAAATAAATTCTAAATCAACTAAAACTTTTCATTTGGAAGTTTTTTTTTTAAACAGGTTAGAAAACATGTTTTTGAGATTTTTTTTTTAATGCAGAGATAATTCGTTTTTATAGGTGACATAATTAAATCATTTTGGGCAACAAAAGATTAGTTTTTAAATGTCTTACTAATCATAATGACTTTATGTTACCATGAAACTAATATTCTATCTTAAATCCTCACTCAACTTTCCAAGCAGGCTCAACATTAATATCGATAATAAATTGAATAAGTCCATATTTCAAATATTGAAAATTTTTTAATTTTTTGCAAACTATACCCTATCTTATTTAAGTTGTCATTATATTATATATTATATGTGATAGATATTATAGATTATTATAATTATTATCATAACATAGCTAAGAAGAGCTTATACCAGGAGTATGTTCACATGATTAGTGTATTCTTCAGTCTGTGATTTCTTTGCAGGAATCTTTTTTAGACTTCATCTATTATATAAAGATTAGTTTAGTTGAAACTAGATATTTTAATCCATTAGTCTTCTTAATCAGATTAACATAAACTGCAATATGTTACAAATGTATAAGGGCATCACTGTCAACTTCTCCCAGCTGTGGAACTGCCATCTTCCATCAGTACACTCTTTGTGACAAATAGACTATCTGATACACAGTGAGGGTACCAATGTCAATTCTTAGCTATAAAAGTATTCAGGTTTGAACCATA